CTTGATTCGCCTAGGCCCAGGAGCCCTCCTGGGACATAAAGTTAAGCTAAGCACAGTGGTGATTCAGCATTTGGGGTGGGGTAGGGGTGGGGAATTAGAGTAAGACAGTTAGGAAAGGAGAAGATAAGGGAAGTCAGCTTCTGGAATAACCAAAAGAGCCTGTGAGAGGACATTTACTGAGGCAAGAATTAGTTTGGCAGGAGGCCTGAGCTCAGCATCTGGGCTAAGAGCTGAGAAGGGACAAAGGTTGGAGAAAGTGGTTAAATCCATTGTACCCAGTCTCCCCCCTACCTCAGTCTGTGTGTCAGGGAAAGAGCAGACCCTATGATGATACTGGACAGATTCATCTCCATAAGCTGTGGGATACCCTCCCTGAAGAAACCAAAAACTAGGGAGAGAATATCTGTATAAGCTGGTGAGAGATGGGCAGAGGAGGAGGCAGTGAGAATTTTCATGGGACAGGAACTGAGAGGACACAGAAACCCAGAGAAGCTGGGGGTGTCAGTGACAGTAAGAGTGCTGGGGATGCTAGAGCATAGTTTCTTTTATGGATTGGCTTGTGTTATGGATTGACTTGTGTCCTCAGAACTGTGTGACAACTTGGCTGGGCCAAGATTCTCAGTATTAATTAGGCTCCATTTTGTGATCTGATATAATTATCCCATGTGTTGTAAATCCTGACTTCTATGGTGTTAATGAGGAGGATTAGAAGCAGTTATATTAATGAGGCAGGATGCAATCTATAAGATCAGCTTCTATTTTAAATCCTCTCTCTCACTCTCTCTCTTTTTAAAATTACGATTTGGGTGAAAGTTTACAGAGCAAATTCACTTTCCATATAGCAGCTCACACATACTTTGTCTTGTGACATTGACTGTAATTTCCCACAATGCAACAGCTCCCCTTCCGCTTCCTCTCCATAGTTACCTCTTCCCTGTGTCCTTCCCTCCATACACACTCCTGCCTCCTGAGCTGCCTCCCTGTGCATACACAGCCCTTCTGTTCTCCCATGATTATTCTCTCCAAACAGTGTATCTACCTAATGTAAATGTTCAGCTCATATGCCTATCTTTTGTTTGGCTGGAAGCCATAGGAGTGGGTTCAATTCCAGACCTGAAGGGCAGCTAGGGGCCATAGTCTGACTGGGTTCCAACAGGCTCTGTCAGACCAGCAAAACTGGCCCCCCCCCCTTTTTAAATGATTTTGAGGTTTGTTCCACATTTTTCTACCACTCTACCCAGGATTTCCTACATAGATCCCCCTCCGAGTAAGTCAGTCTCTTTTGAGACATAAAAGGGATCAAAGAAGTGAGCACAAATTAGAGGGACTTCAATACCACCAAGAAAGAAGAGCCAGTAGCAGAGCACGTCCTTTGGACCCAGGGTCCCTGAGCTGAGGAACTCCTAGACCCTGGGTAAGATTGACAAGGACCATCTCCCAGAACTAACAGAGAGAAGAAGGTTTCCCCTAGAGCTAGCTCCTTGAATTTGGAATTCTAGCCTCCTATGTGACAGAATAAATTTCTATTTGTTAAAGCCATTCACTTGTGGTATTTCCATTACAGCAGTGCTAGGTAACTAACACAGTTGTGTCCCCAAAAAGATATATTCACATCCTAATCCCTGGTGTCTCAGAATATGACCTTATTTGCAGAAAGCATCTTTGCAGATATGATTAAGTTAACTTGAGGTCATACTTAGTAGAGTAGGCTCTAATACAATAGGACCAGTGTCCTTTATAAGAAAAGACAGATACAGAAGGAAGACAGCAATGTAAAGACAGGGGCAGAGATTAGAGTTATGCTGCCACAAGCATAACTCCTGGAACTAGCAGAAGTTGGAAGAAACAAGACAGGATCTTCCTCTAGAGCCTTTAGAGAAATACCTGAATTCAGGTTTACCCTAAATACCCTGAATTGAGACTTGTAGCCTCCAGAATGGACAGTCAGAAGAATGAACAAATCTGTCTTGAAAGAAATATATCCAGAATTCTCCCTAGAAGAGAGGGTGGTGAGACGTCATCTCATATACTTTGCTCATGTTGTCAGGAGGGACTTGTCCCTGGAGGAAGGGCATCATGCTTGGTAAAGTAGAGGATCAGCAAAAATAAGAAGCCCCTCGATGAGACAGATTGACACAATGCAAGAATGAGCTCAATCCAGCCAAACAAAGTACAGGCATGTGAGTTAAACATTTACCTCAAGTAGACACATGCCCTGGAAAGAACAATCATGGAAGAAGGAAGGGCTGCTTATGCACAGGGAGACAGCTCAGGGGGCAGGAAAGTATGGAAGGATGGAAACTGGGAAGAGGTAACTATGGGGAGGAAGTGGGAGGGGAGCTGTTGCATTGTGGTAAACTGTGGTCAATGACATGAGACAAAGTATATGTGAACTGCTGTATGAAAAGTGAATTTGCTCTGTAAATCTTCACCCAAATCACAATAAAATTAAAAAAAAAAAAAAAGAAAAAGCTCAAATATAGCAATGATTGTGAAGATGAAGCCAGATGGGCAGTGTTTCGTTCTGTTGTACATAGGCAGCCAACTCAACAGCACCTAACAAAGAGGGAATTGCTGCCTCACAACTGATCCCAGTAGGGAAGTGACATTCCAGGAAGCAAAGAAGGCTATTACAGCCTTCCCCACACCTTCAAGGCCCAGCTCACCCAACCCCCTCCCACTTAGGCCCATGCTGCTGCTGCTGCTCCCAGGTTCTAGTCCTCCAGAGACGGGTTAACACAGTGGCTGCGCTGCGAGGATGAAGCATAACCAGGCAGTGTTTCATTCTGTTGTACACAGGGTCGCTATGAGTTGTTACCAACTTAGCGGCATCTAACAACAATAGCCTCCAGAATGGTATAAGAATAAATTTCCATTGTTTTAAGCACCTAGTTTGTGATACTTTATTATATCAGCCCCAGGAAGCTAATACAGTCCCCCAACCCCACACCTTTGGGGAAGCCTAGAGATTCACAAGAGGCAAAGAATATTGAGGTAGGGCCACTGACCCAGGAGACTGTCCTGTGGTGACATCTGAATTCACATGGATGCACCCAGAGATTCTTGGGGTGATTATGGGAGAGGAGCCATGGGGAAAGACTGCACTTGAAGGAGCTGAAACACAGTTTATATTCCATTCATACACTATCAGTGCAAGGACCCTTTTTTAGGGGGAGAAACAAATTAAACTCTTTAGTTTCTGGTTCAGAGTTGATGCCCAATGAGTATTTTTTGAATGAATAACCCTCCTGTGGTAGTTCGGTTTGTGTGTCAACATGGCTGGGCCTGGTTGAGTGGCTGGGCTGCTGGTGGTAGTTACTCCCCATGATGAGACTGGCAATCAACTCCATGGTGGGATCTACCACAAGCAGCTGAGTAGCTGCCTTTGGGATATGGTCTGCTTCCTGTATATAAGGAGAAGCTTTGAGGATGGTCTCTAGCCTATGGCACGCTTGGACCCTGCATGTAGCTGTGTTGTTGCTCAGCAGCCTGCTATGCTCTGCCAACCTTGGGACTTACAGTGGACTTAAGTTAATGGCCTGCCGTGTGGTTTGGTAACATCGGGATTGTGCATTTTTACTTGTCAACCTTGGGGCTTCTCAGCCTCAGCAGCCAGCAGCTGTCTGAGTGAAGAAATGCCTCTGGCCCCAGTGGGCCGGGAGCAGGAGGCAGAGCTGGACCCCAAGGTTGAGGGGCTTTCACCCAGCCCCTAGAGCTTGGCACTTTGAACTTGGACTTAAAGCCTCCAAATTGTAAGAATAAACTCCTATTTGTTAAGGCCATCCCATTTGTGGTATATTCTTGTCAGAGCGGTACTAGGTAACCAGAACACCACCCCCCAAAAAAGAAAAACAACCCAAACCCATTGCCATCAAGTTGATTCCAACTCCTAGAGACCCTATAGCATGATAGGGTTTCCAAGGCTGTAAATCTTTACAGAAGCAGACTGCCTCATCTTTCTCCCACAGAGCAGCTGGTGGGTTCAAACTGCCAACCTTTTGGTTAGCATCCAAGTGCTTAACCACTGTGCCACCAGGGCTCCTCATTGAAAGAATAATGACCTTTGATTCATTAATAACATGTAAGTTTGGAATTACCATTTGTGCTCTTTGTATTGGATATGATCTCATTATCTAGGGATCCTGGCCCTGTTCATTACCATCAAGTCTGTACAAGAGTTCACATTAGGCCCAGCCCTCCACTTTCCTAGGTTCCTGGGCTCTGTGCCCTGACCTCTTCTCGCAGAGGTTGAGTCAGGGAGGGGAGAAGAAAGTGGGCCTCAACAAACATCTTGTGATGAGAGAGGGAGACAGAGATGAGACAGTTTCCTCCCTAACCTCCAGCCCCACTCTGCAGTTCTACGTTCTCACGCTTAAGAAGACCTCTTCCTCAGGGGAGTCTTCCTAGATTTCTGCTTCCACTACCACTACCAGTTGCTGTCCATTTGATTCTGACCCATGGCACCCTCATATGCATCAGAGTAGAACTGTATGCCATAGGGTTTTCAGTGAGTGGACTCAAACCGCCAACCTTTCAGTTAACAGCCAAGTACTTCTACCATTTGCACCACCCCTGCATCCTGTAAATCAGCCAAATTCCCTCCTCTCGTGGCAGAGGTGAATTAAAATATTTTTAATTTGTATGTGTCATGTAAATTCTCCATTAATTGTTCCCATCTATCTTTACTTCAAATGGCCAAGTGCCTGGATGATCATACCCTTGAAAGGCTCCCAGTCTGCCTTTTTCTTCTCCAAGCTGTTCATTCTGAGGAGGAAGACAGAGAGAGCCTCCAGTCTGCAGCAGGAGGCAGGGCCACGTACAAATACTCCAAAACTTGAGGAAGGAATATTGAGGTTGGATCATGAGTTCTATAGGTCCAAGTGTGGTCAGTGATCAATGTCCCTTCTCTGGGATCGGGCTCCAGCAGGCGGGGTGGAGCTCCCTGCCTGTCGTCTCTCCATCACTGCAGCGGAAGTCCAGTCCTTGAGAGTTGAGATTTCTCAGACAGGAGGCAGCGGCGGACAGAGAAGAAGACGGTCTGCCTGTGAGGCTATTGGAAGCAAGGGGAGCCCTGAGCCCCGCGCGCGAGGCGTCTCCGCCACGTCCGCCCGGGTCGCACTCAGGGCGCGGTACCGGCTGCAGGTCAGGAGCAAGTCAAACAGCAACAGTTTGAAGAGCAGCAGCCGCAGCGCCCCCAGTCGCAGGACCTGGCCCGGCATCCCTGCAGGAGAAAGAGGGGGTTTCGGGAGTCTTGTGGCTGGACTTTAGCATCCCCTCCCCAGGGGAATGTTCACCAGAGAAGAGGGGCTTTGTCCTTTGCTCTTGTTATTTCCCCACTTTGTCCCTCTCCTCCAGGGAATGTCTTTCTTGGTGCAGAGTAACATCTCTTACAGGGAATATTAACAAATACCTTCCCAGCCTTCCTTTTGTTTGATTTCCTAACAACCAGAGGGATATAAACCAAGTAAGTATTAGCATCTGATACACAGGAGAGTAACCAACAAGCTCCAAATTCTCTATTTGATCAGGAAACAGCAGGACCGGAGCCCAGACTTCATGGCTCCTGGTCCAGAGTTCTTTCCACTGCCCGTTTGGCCTTTACACAAAGTTCTAACCCTGAGACCACCCATCTGGGTTGCCCAAGGAGCGCTCCAGGATCCTCTCCTTGGCTCTCACTTGCACTTTGCAACTGGTGTCCAGGGATTGGGCTGGGGCCAGAAGAGGCATCCCTCTTTTACCCATGAGCCCAGGCTAGTCAGTGCTCCACCCAACAACTCACCACCCGGCCAGGACAAGACCTATGATGTCAGAGTCAGACACTCCACCCTCCAGGACCCAGGGTCCTGATTCTTAGCCCCTTAGCCTCATCTCCACTCTGATACTCACCCCTGAGAGGTTCCCAGAGGCAAGTCCTGGCTGAAGAAGCCTCTCCTGGTAGCAAAGGAGAAAGCAGTTAAGTCCTTTGGGATGGCCTGTGCACTTGGAGTGCCACATCCCCAATGCTATGCCCAGGCCCTGGCATAGAGCTGGTGCTCAGGCCATGCTGGATAAATGGATAAATGAACAGCAGCAAGGACCCTGAGCCTATTTGCTGCAGTTCCTCTGAAGGGCCCAGATCTCCCTCACTCCCCCTCATCCCTGTTCTGTGCCCCAGCAGGACTGAGGTGCCTCAGCACTTGCAGACAAGGAATCTATTTGCTCAGCCTTCTTTGGGCATTTATTCAACAAACATTCGCATTTGGAAGATGACAAAACTGAGGTAATCCAGAAAGAGAAAGTAGTTCATCTGATCAGTGATAATAAAGCTGACTTTGAACATGTTACTTCCCATGCCTCAGTTTTCCCATCTGTAATATGAGGGAAATAATCTGGTAATGTAGTGCCTAAGGCATTTGACTGCTAACCAGAAGGTTGGCGGTTCAAACCCCCCAGCCACTCCACAGAAGGAAGGTTGGGCAATCGGCTTGTGTAAAGATTTACCACCTTGGAAACCCAAAGGGGGTTGCTATGGGTTGAAATCGACTCTATGGCAGTGAGTTTGACTTCGATTTTAATATGACGTATCTCGTAAATGTAAAGTGTTAGAACAGTGCCTAAAGTACAGTGCACAAAGCAAACACTCAACAGCTGATGGCTATTTATTATTTGATTCTTATAGGGTACAATATACATGTTGTTGTTAGCTGCTGTCGAGTTGGCCCGTGACTCATGGTGACCCAGGCGCAACAGGATCAGACTGTTGTCATCCATGGGGTTTCCACTGGCTGATATTTGAAAGTAGTTTGCCAGGCCTTTCTTCCCAATCTTAGTTTGGAAGACTGCTGAAACCTGCTCAGCATCATAGCAACACACAGGCCTCCACTGACGGATGGGTGGTACCTGTGCAGGAGGAACATGGTGGAGAGCTGAACCCGGGTCTCCTTCATGGAAGGTGAGAGAACTCTACCACCGAACCACTACTGCCTTTGTCATATAGAGTGAGTGAGATATGTATAAATAGCTCAACCCTGGGAGAGAGGAGGCATTATTAGCTCTTGGAAATTTATGCAAGAGAACCAGGATTTAAACAAGATATCACAGTTGCAAATCCTAGGATTCATGGCCCTGGGGCCACCCTGCTGTGAGCCCAGGCATCATCTCACCTGAGGGTCTGCATTTGGATACCCTTTCTGCTTCCACGACCCAGAGCCTCCCAGCACATTCCTGCCCTCTTTCTCTCCCAGCACATCCTGGTTCATGGGTATGTGAAAGGGGACAGAGAGTTTCCATAGAGCCCCAGATTCCATCCTCACCTGACAGCTGTAGGGGCTGTGTGCTCCAGCTGCTGCCCTTAGCCCCAAGCCCTGTATGGCAGACCAAGGGCTCCCAGGCTGCCAGCTCGTCAGAAGGCAGGGAGAGCTGGGCCAAGCTGGTCCAGGTGCCGTCTGCCGCTGGGGAAGGGCCGTAGGTGAAAGCATCCAGTGCACTGCCATTGCCAACTGAGAACCAGATGGGACTGTCGAGGCCAGGGGGTGCAACATCGAGGACAAGGCAGACCACCAGGGTCTGCTGCTTCCCATCCACCGATAGTGTGATTGGTGGGGCCAGAGAGGGGAAGGGTGTGCAGCCTACACCTGCAAGAGAGTACACACCTGTAGGGGCTAGGTCAGTGTGTGTCCCCCACCCCAGGCCAGCATTTAATTATAGGCTAGGGTTTTCTGTCCTTCCATCTGTCCTTCCACCATCCATCTATCCTACCATTCACATATCCATCCATCCCTCCTTGCGTTTACCCATCTAACCATCCTTCCTCCCATCTATCTCTCCTTGCATCTATCCAGCCATTCTTTCTTCCATCATCCATTCTTTCTTCCATTCATTCTTTTTATCTTCCTATCTCTATGTCCATCCATCCATCCATTCATCTATCCAACCATCTGAGCACCTTTCTGTATGACAGGCACTGGAGATTGAGTAAGACATTATCTCTGCCTTCAGGGAACTCAGTCCCATGGGAAAGACAGATCCACAAACAAATAATGTAATACCATGTTGTGCCATCCTCAGAAGAGTGATTACCTCTGGGGAGAAAGGTAAGGAAATAGGATCTGGAATGAGATCAAAGGAAGCTTCAAAGGTACCCATAACATTTTGTTTTGAATATTTGGATATTTTTTCATATCAGTAAAATCTCAAAAGTTAAAATGTAGAAACAAATTCACACTATGATTAAGTGCAGCCAGGCTAAAGATATGCCCCAGAGTATGGGAAGGATGTCCAAGAATCTTGTGAGGAGGTGGGAGGGTTGCTCAGGAAAGATTTTCAGAGGTCAAATAACTGGCCAAGGAACACATGGCTGGTAAGTAGCCCAGGCAGGATTTGAACTCAGGTCTATGTGACTCCAAATTCCATGGTTATTCATGTTTTTTTGTTGTTGTTATGTATCGTTGAATCGGACCCGACTCATTGCAACACCTCCTTGGGTTTCCGAGACAGTATCACTACGGAAGTAGATTGCCCCATCTTCCTTCCAAGGAGTGGCTGGTAGCTTTGAACCACCAGCCTTCTGGTTAGCAGTCAAGTGCCTTAGGCACTAAGCTACCAGAGCTCCAACTGTAGACCACCCTAATTTGAAGGATGATTAAAATTTTGCCACATGACATAGTAGACCAAGCCTGAGACATGATCTCAAACAGAGATGACTTGACTCCTGACTCCTCCACTTAATTTACTGAGTCTCAATTGTCCCATCAATATAATGGGGATAATAACACCAGCCTAGTAAAACTGTTGTGAAAAGATCAGAAATGTAAGCTGCCCTGACACATAAGTATGAATGTTATTATTATAATTATTAATATTAACAAGGCATTGTAAAGAAAGGGAAATAGAGAAGGCTTGGAAGTGAGCTCCAGGCTCCTCTAACTCCTGAGACTTTTCAGTTACAAAGATAAAGACACTCCTCAAGTTGAGTTTAGCTCTCATCTCTCACAGGAAGCCTTCCAGGATTGCTCCTCCTTACCCTGGCTGCTTCCTTCTCAGAGCTCAAGCCTCCTGCCACAAGCTCTCACTGCTCCATGTGGGTGTGGTTTATCTCCCTTTGGAAGGAAAGGCTGTGACAGGCTGGGAACCAGCTTTAGATTTAGGAGACTTCCTGACCCAAAGGTCCAAGACCTTCCTCTACCATAGTTAGAATTCTCCCCTTCAAACATTAGCCCTTTGGCTTCAGTTTTAATTTTTGGAGGTTAGGATAAATGTCCCTGGGAAGTTACCAAGAGCTCAGTGAGATAAGAGGGCGCTGGGAGTGAACATGAGACACCCTGAGCCCTGTTGGAACAGGCCACCTTGAGGGCAGAAGGGCAGGCAGGAAGGGCAGGACAGGACCTCACAAGATTGCCCATGTGGCATCACTCCATATGGCACAACAAGGTACTGGTGACCCTAATCCCAACCCCTTGGACCCCCATCCACCTCGCTCTTATTTCTCTATCTCTCTAAGAGCTGACTGCCTTTTTTTTTTTTTTACCAACACTGTGGACTCTGGGGAGCAGGACTTGGGAACCCCAGAGTAAGGTAGTTGGGGGTGGAGTACAATGGGGAAACAGATAATGGGCTTCTGGTGAGAACCCCCCAGAAGCCCCAAATGGCTCTTACCTTGCCTTCTTGCATCCCACCCATACCCAAGGAGGCTTAGAATGAAGGGGTGGGCTTGGGTAGAATAGTGGGGCACAGAAAGTGATCCAGGGAAGGAGCTTACCTGTGGGCAGGGCTGGATACCCCAGGGCCAAGAGAAGCACAAGCCAAGGCTCAGTCATGGCCTACCCAGGGGAGGTAGGACCCAGCTGCAGACCCAAGGTGTGGGCTGGGAAAGAGGTGCCCGCAAGACTGCTTTCCAGGCCACAGCCCCAGCTGCACCTCAGCTGCTCCACCACCAAGCCTTTTTACCTGGGGTGAGGGGCCCCTCCCATCCTCACCCTAACCCTCAAACCCAATCCTCTCTCATGAGCCAGGCACTCAGGGTGTCACTCCCACACTAGGAGCCAGATGCTCACATTTCCTCCATTCTGAAGAACAGAGTCTGCAAAGCTTTTTCCCCTTCCCTGGACATTCCAGAAGCCAACTACCATCTACTGGACACAGAGCAGCTGGCAGGGTGTCGGGAGCTTTCATTAGATCCTCCCAACCACTGTGAGTTCCATCTCACTGTGAGGCAGCTGCGCCTTGGAGAGGTTGAGTGACCTGCCCAAGGCCACACAGCTTGAAGGTGTCAGAGCCAGGACTTGAATAGTTTCCTGATGGCTGGCTCTATTATAGCCAAAAAGGATGTCAAGTAAAGTTATTTCCATATTATTACTTCTTTTTTAAATAAAGATTTTACAAATGTGATTTTCAGTGATTCCATTGGAGTTCAGCTGTAGTTCTCATTTTGACACTGAAATTGCCTCTAGGCATGTATTGTTGTTGTTATGTGCCGTTGAGTCAGACCTGACTCATAGCGACCCTTCCTTGGGTTTCTGAGGCGGTATCACTATGAAAGTAGATTGCCTAACCTTCCTTCCGAGGAGGGGTTGGTGGGTTTGAACTGCCAGCCTTCTGGTTAGCAGCCAAGTGCCTTAGGCACTAGGCTACCAGAACTCCTTCTTCTAGGCATCTACCTTAATAAAATAATTATTAAAAGACAAAGATTTATGTACAAAGGTGTTCTTTGAAGTATTATTTTTCAAAAGCAAGAAATTGGAAGCAATATAAATGCTTAACACTTTTTGTTAGGTGCCTGTTGAGTTGTCTCCGACTCACAGTGACCCCATGCACAGCAGAACGGAACACTGCCCAGTCCCCCGCCAGCTCCATGACCCCTGCTATACTTGAGCCCATTGCTGCAGCCACTGTGTCAGTCCATCTCACTGAGGGCCTTCCCCTCTTTCATCAACAGTCCACCTTACCAAGCATGATATTCTTCTCCAGGGAATGGTCCCTTCTGATAACATGACCAAAGTAGGTGAGATGAAGTCTGGCCATTCTTGCTTCCAAGGAGCATTCCAGCTGCACTTCCTCCAGGACAGATTTCATTAGTTCTTTAACAGTCCACGACACTTTCAGCATTCTTCGCCAGCACCACAACTCAAAAGCATCAACTCTTCTTTGATCTTCCTTATTCATTGTGCAGCTCTTACATGCATATAAGGCAATTGAAAATACCATGCATTGTGTCAGGTGCACCTTAGTTCTCAAGGAGACATCTTTGTTCTTCGGCACTTGAAAGAGGTCCTTTGCAGCCGACTTGTCCAGTGCTATACATCATCTGATGTCCTGAGTGCTGCTTCCATTGGCTTTGATTGTAGAACCAAGCAATATGAAGTCTTTGACGACTTCAGTCTTTCTCCATTTATTGGGATGCTGCTTATAGGTCCAGTTGTGAAGATTTTTGTTTTCTTTATATTGAGATGTAATCCATACTGCAGACTGTAGTCTTCAATCTTCATCAGTAAATGCTTCAAGTCATCTTCACTTTCAGCAAACAAAGTTGTGTCATCAGCATATCGCAGGTTGTTAATGATTCTTCCTCCAATCCTGATGCCATGTCTCTTCACATAGTCCAGCGTCTCGGATTATTTGTTCAGCATACAGATTGAATAAGCATGGTGAAAGGATATAACTCTGACACATTCCTTTCTTGATTTTAAACCATGCAATGACCCCATGTGCTGTTTGAACCACAGCCTTCTGGTCTACGTACAAGTTCCTCATGAGTATAATTAAGTGTTGTGGAATTCCCACTCTTCTCAATATTACCTATAATTTGTTATGATCTACATAATCAAATGCTTTTGCATAGTCAATAAAACACAAGTAAACATCTTTCTGATATTATTTGCTTTGAGCCAAGATCCATCTGACATCAGCAATGATATCCCTTGATCCATGTTCTCTTCTGAATCCAGCTTGCATTTCTGGACATTTTCTGTCAATATACTGCTGCAACCATTTTTGAATTATCTTCAGTAAGATTTTACTTGCATGTGATATTAATGATATTGTTCGATAATTTCCACATTCTGTGTGATAACCTTTCTTTGTAATGGGTACAAATATGGATTTCTTCCAGTCATTTGGCCAGGAAACTGTCTTCCAAATCTCTTGGCATAGTCAAGTGAGTGCCTCCAGTGTGGCATCCGTTTGTTGAACTATCTCAATGGATATTCCGTCAATACTTGAAGCCTTGTTTTTCACCACTTCCTTCAATGCAGCTTCAACTTCTTCCTTCAATACCATTGATTTTTGATCATATGCTAGTTCCTGAAATGGATGTACATCAACCAATTCTTTTTGGTATAATGACTCTGTGTATTCCTTCCATCTTCATTTGATGTTTCCTGCATCATTCAATATTTTGTTCATAGAAGCTTTTAATATTGCAACTAAAGACTTGACATTTTTCTTTAGTTCTTTCAGCTTGAGAAATGCCAAGTGTGTTCTTCCCTTTTGGTTATCTAACTCCAGGTCTTTGAATATTTCGTTATAATAACTGACTTTGTCTTTTTGAGCTGCTTTTTGAAATCTTCTGTTCAGCTCTTTTATCTTGTCATTTCTTCTATTTTCTTTGGCTACTCTCCATTCAAGGACAAGTTTCAGAGTCTCTTCTGACATCCATTTTGGTCTCTTCTTCCTTTCCTCTCTTTTTAATGACCTTTTGCTTTCTTCATGGATGATGTTCTTGATGTCATACCACAATTCCTCTGGTTTTCGATCATTGGTTCCCAATGCATCAAATCTATTTTTTAGATGGCCTCTAAATTAAGGAAGAATATCATCAAAGTTATATTTTGGTTTTCATGGACTTGTTTTAATTGTTTTCAACTTCAAGTTGAACTTGCCTGTGAGCAGTTGATGGTCTGTTCCACAAGCAGCTCCTGACCTTGTTTTGGCTGAAGATATTGAGCTTTTCCATCACCTCTTGCCACAGATGTAGTCAATCTGATTCTGTGTACACCTTCTGGCGAAGTCTATGTGGATAGCCGCCATTTGTGTTGTTGAACAAAGATATTTGCAATGAACAAGTAGTTGGAAAATTCTATCATGTGATCTCCAGAATTATTTCTGTCACCAAGGCCAAATTTTCCAACTACTGGTGATTCTTCTTTGTTTCAAACTTTTGCATTCCAGTCAGCAGTGATAATTAATATCTTGATTGCATGTTTGGTCAATTTCAGACTGCAGAAGTTGATAAAAAATCTTCAACTTCTCACCTTTAGCTTTGGTGGTTGGTGTGTAAATTTGAAAATAGTAGTATTAACTGGTTTTCCTTATAGGCATATGGATATTATCCTATCACTGATAGCATTGTACTTCAGGACAGATCTTGAAATATCCTTTGTGATGATGAATGCCATGCCATTCTTCTTCAATTTGTCATTCCCAGCATAGTAGATCATATGGTTGTCTGATTCAAAATGGCCAAAACCGGTCCATTTCAGCTCACTAATGCCTAGGATGGGAGCTCTGGTAGCATAGTGTCTAAGACACTTGCCTGCTAACCAGATGGCTGGCGGTTCAAACCCACCAGCCACTCCTCGGAAGGAAGGTTGGGCAATCCTACTTCCGTAGTGATACTGCCTCGGAAACCCAAGGAGGGGTCGCTATGAGTCGGGGCCGCTATGAGTCGGGGCCGACTCGACGGCACATAACAACAACAACAACAATGCCTAGGATATCAATCTTTATGTGTTCCATTTCATTTTGGACAACTTCCAATTTTCCTAGATTCATACATCTTACATTCCATGTTCTGATTATTAATGGATGCTTGTAGTTGTTTCTCCTCAATTTGAGTCATGCTATATCAGCAAATGGAGGTCCCAAAAGCTTTACGTTATCCATATCAAGGTTGGTTCTACTCTGATGAAGTAGCTCTTTCCCCATCATACTTTGAGTGCCTTCCAAACTAAGGGTCTGGTCTTCCTGCACCGTATCAGACAATGTTTCCAGGCTATTCATAAAGTTGTCTAGTAATGAATCAGATAGTGTTTCTCTGCTATTCATAAGGTTTTCCCTGACCAATTTTTTGAGAAGTGGATGGTCTCTTCATTCTTCTGAGTCTGTCTCCATCTGTAAGCTGCTTTAAAACCTGTGCACCATATGCAACCTTACTGGCCCTGAAGCACCAGTGGCACAGCCTCCAGCCTTACAGCAATACACAAGCCACCACAGTAAGACAAACTGACAGACAAGTTCGTCTCCCTTAGATGTTTGAAACCTCTCTGCCCACCCTTTACCTGGATCCTGCCAGCTTCCGCCAGGCTTTCCCTCCTACCTTATGCTCAACACTAGGGGAATGGATTATGGTTTGGTGTTCTTAAGCTAGTGGATATTATGTAGCAGCCTTTAAAATCACATTTTCAAAGAATGTTTCAAAGAATGTTTAATGGCATGGAGTATAGAGTAGAGTTTGATTAAGATCATGGACTGTGAAGCTGGGAGTCCAGAGTTTCAATCCTGATTACATCACTTAGTAGTAGTGTGACTTTAAGGAAATTATTTCCTTCCCTGATCCTCAGTTTCCTCATCTGAAATGGGGATGATCATACCTCAAAGAGACATTGCAAGAATTAGACAAGATTATCCATGAAGAGGGCTTGGCACCATTCTTTATACATAATATTTATTGTTGTTGTTATGTGCCATCGAGTTGGACCCAACTCATAGAGACCCCTCCTTGGGTTTCCAAGGCAGTATCACTATGAAAGTAGATTGTCCAACTTTCCTTCCAAGGAGTGGCTGGTGGGTTTGAACCACCAGCCTTCTGGTTAGCAGTCAA